CAGGACCTTCACAGCGGTGCCGTATCTCTGGCCGCCAACTCGAAGGTCCGGCATTTGCTATGGCAGTACATCAAGGACAACTGGACTGCTGTTGAAACTCGATTGTCATTTAACAACGTTGTGTTTGAGCGTTTTGTTCGTATGGGTCTATCAAAATTTGCCGATCACCAGATCAGTGACGACATTGCGGCCTTCTTCAAGGACAAGGAAACGGGGGCCTATGACCGCGCACTCGTGATTGTTTCAGACAACATTCGAACCAATGCATCCTACAAGGAGCGTGAGGAGGCGTTGGTCCTCGAATGGCTGCAGGCACACGGCTACGCATAAAAGCCTTTCATCATGATGTCCAACGGAATATTTGTTCGAACAAACTTTGATTTTGACACAATTTAAAATGGGATTTCTAGATTTCTTCCGATCATGAGTCCGATGGGTGATATATCTAAGCTGAGTTATGCACGAGATAACACTTGAGCAGGTGATCTCGCATATGAAAAGTGGAATCAAGTATACCATCCCTGTGATATAGATGTTAGTAGAGAGATCAACGCGAGAAGATGTTTATGTGAAAAATGTACAAAACACCAAAAAAAGATGGAAATGATAGTAAATCCGAGAAGTGGTTTGTGACGTGAAACAAAGCTGCGCATCAGGTGCGTCTGGCTCCCTGCACCTCCTATCATTTCAGGCGACTGTTCCATCATTGTCCCCTCCCCCGACTTCCTAGGAACTTCGACTCCATCTTGTTTTTTTTTTTTTTTTTCTTTCTGAAGAACAAGAACAAAACCTCCTTTATATTCCTCTCGGACTTGTGTGTGCTTCATCTCCTCACTTCACCTTCTCCGTCTCTCAAGTCTCATCATGAATCCCGAGTGGTAAGCCTTCCATATCTCCCATCCCCCTCAAATTCCTATGCGCCCTGCTTTGGTCCACTCTATGAGCCTACTTGTGTGTTGAATTTGACTAATGTGATTTTGATTTTTAGAGTATCGCATTGCTGATTTGACCTCACCCGACCCAACTTCCCAAACTTGCCGATCTCCGTTGCCTAACCATCGAGATAGATACGATTACCTTTTCAAGCTGCTCCTCATCGGTGACTCCGGTGTCGGAAAGTCTTGCTTGCTGCTTCGTTTTGCCGATGATACCTACACTGAAAGCTACATCTCGACAATCGGCGTCGACTTCGTACGTCTCGGAATCTGTAGGGTATCTGGCTCTAAGAGAATAGCGGTACTGACGCGTCATCACAGAAAATCCGCACAATCGAACTCGATGGCAAGACCGTGAAGCTTCAGATCGTATGACTATTTTGAGCACCCAGCATATGAAGCAAAACTAATAATACATACAGTGGGACACCGCAGGCCAGGAGCGATTCCGTACCATCACATCTTCCTACTACCGGGGAGCTCATGGAATTTGCGTGGTTTACGATGTCACTGACATGGATTCCTTCAACAACGTGAAGCAGTGGCTTCAGGAGATTGACCGGTACGCCACGGAGGGTGTTAACAAGCTGCTCGTTGGAAACAAGAGCGATATGGAGGACAAGAAGGTCGTGGAATACACCGTTGCCAAGGTATGTTCACAGACAGGTTGAAAGCTATTGGGGCACCGAGAAGGAAGTCAGAGTATTAACATGTCTTGATTGCGTTCTTATAGGAGTTTGCTGACAGCCTCGGAATTCCTTTCCTCGAGACTTCGGCCAAGAACGCGTCGAACGTTGAGCAGGCATTCTTGACAATGGCACGGCAGATCAAGGAACGCATGGGAACTGCCACTGTCAACAACAAGCCGACTGTGCAGGTTGGTCAGGGCCAGGGTGTCCAGTCTGGATCGGCAGGTGGCTGCTGCTAAACGACACAATGTTCACGTTGTGTGGTGCGGTGCTTCACTTTGGCGCAATGTTACATCATGAATTGAGGGGTTCCAAGCGTGGTATCTAATCGGCAGAAGCCAGGCTTGTCAGGCCTTTGGAAACTCGGCATGTTCCTGGCAGGCAGGGGGAAGATTCTCCATGAGCTGGCAAACGTTATGATGATGCCGTTGAGGGTCCTTTCTTGCCTTGGATTCGCTTTAGACGACCTGTGTTCTATTCTCGTTTCTGCGTTTGCTTATGCGGTTACCGCTGGTTTCTGCGTTCTCATGATTTTCTGGCCACGTCTCTGCTCTATTACCTTGGCCCATCATCCTGTGTCTTTTTCCCCTTTCTATTTCCTATTTTCGCTTTTTTTTTTTTCTGTAGGTTGGATTTTTCTCTTGTGAATGGACTAATAGCGAGAACCTTGCGACTTCTTGAGGCATACTGCCTCATATGGGCCTACTTTTTTTTTTTTTTTTGGACTTTTTCGTCTTTGGTAAACCAGTGCATTGTACTATGTAGATTGCCCCTGAGTCAGATATATTTAAATGTACTCCGTAATTTGAGATGCGCCGTCAAGACATCTAGGAATGTAGATAATCACATGTAAATCACAGGCGCTGACTCCAAGTAGTAGATCATCATTAGCACATATAAGATACCTAGGTAGCCCGGAGATGTTACCTTCCAAGGGTGTACCTTGATATCCCGAAATGACAATTTATGCGAACGTGACACATTTTAAGTCAGTTGATTAGCATGCAGGTACCGAGGATCTCAAGAACTTCAATCAAACCAATTTCAAACTAACAATTTTTGTACAAGAGTATGCGGGCGTTTCGGAATGTAGTGGAGTTGGGAGCCGAGGCACAGCACTTCGGCAAAACGTCATGAACGTCCCATCCCCCTTGGAGCCGACACTCATTTCGATGGTCTTTTAAATCATTCTTCACCAGATATCTTTCATCCTCTTCCTCTTTACAGGTCACACGTCAAACCTGAACACGGTTCAATAATCCAAATAATCTTCATTATGTCTCAACCTGGAGCCGGGCAGAGAACAGCATCTGCTGCTGTTCAGCAGAGTGATAACATCGCGCACGCGCTGGCAGGTGCGGGAGGGGGGGTTCTGTCGATGGTCTTGACGTATGTGCATCCCCGCGTTATCCCCATCGCTGCCGCTAACCCCATACCCACTCTAGATATCCTCTAATCACTTTGTCGACAAGAGCCCAAGTGGAGTCGAAACGTGCCCACTCAACCACCCTTGACGCTGTACGCCGCATTGTACAGAGAGAAGGTATCTCAGGACTATACTCCGGCTTAGAATCAGCACTGTTTGGAATCAGCGTCACCAATTTTGTGTATTACTATTGGTACGAATTCACGCGTTCGGCCTTCGAGAAGGCCGCGATTCGGGGAGGTAGAGCCTCAAAAAAATTGACGACGGTGGAGTCTATGATTGCAGGCGCCATTGCAGGGAGCGCCACGGTGCTGATTACCAACCCGATCTGGGTTATCAATACTCGCATGACTGCTCGCAAGTCTGAAGCGGAGGAAACATTGCCTGGTGCCAAGAAAACCAAGGCATCCACCCTCAGCACCCTAATGGACCTACTTCGCCAGGAGGGCCCAAAGGCCCTCTTTGCCGGCGTCCTCCCGGCGTTGATCCTGGTGATCAACCCGATCCTGCAATACACCATATTTGAGCAATTGAAAAACATCGTGGAGCGCCGCCGGCGTATGACGCCGAAGGATGCCTTTTACTTAGGCGCACTGGGCAAAATCTTGGCCACCAGCCTCACCTATCCATATATCACCATCAAGAGCCGAGCGCACGTTGCGAGTAAGGAAGGCCCCAAGGAGAGCTTGAACGGAAGTTTGAAGAGGATTATTCAGGAAGAGGGCTGGAAGGGACTCTACAAGGGTAAGCATTTGTTTGGGAAGTCATACATGGTGGCTATTTGCTGACATATTCTCAATAAGGTATTGGGCCGAAGGTTACTCAGAGCGCCATCACTGCTGCATTCCTATTTGCGTTCAAGGACGTGCTGTATGATATGATGGTGGCTGCCCGTAGAAAGAGCCGCATTGCCAAATAGACAGGAACTGTTTCCAAGTCTACCAGAGCTATGTGACACCGCATATAGTCACAGTTTCTGGAGATCCAAGCTCTGCACTTTCAATGTCTACTATGTATACTTGTTCGAGTGCGAGTAATGACTTGGTGAAAGCTCTCAAGGTTCTCAAGTTTCTCGAAGTTCTCGAAGTTTTCGGCTCTTTCAAAGTGATACCCAGGTACTCTGCAAACATGTAGTTTAATTATTTACTGAAATCACTTTATATCTTCACATGAAGTCTACATCCACTGAAGACTATTATACGTACTTTTATATCACGAACAAGTCTATAGTTCAGATCTAATTGGCTTTCCGTGGTTCACCGCCCATCGCCACTCTTACCCGCGTTATCGCGTTCTCGACGCGATTCTGCTCTACCTAGGTATTTCTCCACACTTTCTCCTGTTATCATCTTCAATCTGGACAGTTTTCAATTCTGGTATTGATTTCACCCTGTTTGTCAATATCAATTTGAGCTTCTACACGTATTTCTCTCGGGTATGCTCCTCTCGATCGGTCTAGACAGTCAAACTCCTAATGCACGACAGATTTAAGCTTGCCTCTCCAGTCGCATCGCCTCTGTGACACTCGTACCCCTCGCTTGAAAGATCTGGTTTCCATACGGAAATTGTTAAATTCCATTCAGAAACAATGACCTGAACGGCTGTATTGCCCAAGATTTAGCTCTAACAGGGCCGTCGACGCTATACCGGGACAGTTTCTTTCCCAGCAAAGCTATCCGAGGGCATAGGCCGGTTTCTGCTGAAGGAAGGAGCAGAATCAGACCTGAGGACTTGACAGGCTGGGAAACAAGAACGGAAATTTTAGGTCCAGTGTGATCAAAGTGAGAGCGACGGGCGCCGGTGTTATGTCTTTCTCACTTTGCAATCGTCCGAGACCAGACGTGACCAAGCTCAAATTCATATCACTCCACTCAAACATGTGAGAAATCTCTTATTCCTTCCAGTATTAATATCTGACTTTTTTTTCTTCTTTTTTTCCTCTTTGCCTAGCTCAGAACCTCAGCAGTGCTACTAGAATGTCTCACAGCTTTTCCAGTTTTAACGACCAGGGTATAGTCCCTGCATTCCCTGGCCTATCAGCTCGAAGTATCCCTGAGAACCCAGACATTCAACGTGAGACTCTGCGTTTGCTAGTGCAGTATTCTGGGGTCTCCTCTCTGCCAGAGGAACCGTCAACTCCGGCCACTTCTGGGCATCCGCCTCGGGATACCTGGCAGACCCCACGGGCTGAGGTCCAGCCCAGTGGGGTATCACCGGTCCAGATACCACCGCGAATTACGCGTTCCTCAAGTGGCAGCCGTGCCATTCGACCTTCTTCTTCACATTCTGTCGCTCTTTCCTCTGGCAGCCCAACCCTGGTTTCTCCTCACAATTCCTCTCGCGCTTCCTCCTGCGCTCCTTCCCAACTTCGATCGCCTCCAACTGTCTCGGTTTCATCCTCATACAGCATCTCTCCCACTCATCGCGAGCGGCAGCGAACTCTCAGGGAGAGTGTGGCAATATCAAATGCCAGTAGGAACGATGAGATAGTTGCTCCTATATTCAAACAACAATCCGCTCACCCATCGGATACTGTATCATCTGCCAATAAATCGCCTCAATCCTCGCGGTCAATATCGCCGACAGTGGAACAAAATCTCATCCGTCGCTCCAGTCGGAATAGGGCCAAACCAATAAATTATTATGCCAACCCTTGGGTTAATCTTCGCCTTGAATCTGAAGAGCCAGGCACAAATGTCAAAGCTACTCAGGACCTAGTCGCGTCTGCTCCCAAGGAGCCGCGCCGTGTTTTACCACGCCGAGCAAATATCCAAAAGATGCTATACAAGCGTGAGCTTGGGGGTGGAAATAATCGCCCCATCGTCACCGATGTGGTCTCGGATCTGAGGCGATGGAAATCATGGCAAGGTGCTTCAGGCGATCTGCTTGTTCTAGCTTGGTCGCCTGATGGCACTCAGTTTGCGGCAGGTGCAGCAGCCAAATCAGACGAACATAATATGCAGTACAACAAAGCCAACAATCTCCTTTTAGGCGATCTTCAGTGCAATCGTTTGAAAGAAATTCCTGATCATTGGATTCCACGACCAACATCCTCAATGGTTGATGACCCGCGGCTTTTCATGAGCGTTAATAATATGCAATGGATTGGCAACCGACTCTACACTGCTAGTTTCGACAAAACTGTCAAGATCTGGGACGTGGAATCACTCTCTAACGTATCCTGTACCTATACCTTGCAGCATGAAACCCGAGTGGCAGTGATGTCCGTCTCGAAATTTGACCCGAATATATTGGCTACAGGGACAGAGTCAATCTTGGTCTGGGACACACGAGATCCGGAAAACTTAACATCAACTCTTCTTCCCATCGACCGCGATGCACGATATAAGCCCAACTTTGAGTTTTCATCAACGGCCCTGGCCTGGGGCCATACTCCATCCACTAAGGAATTCTTAGCCGGCGGCCTCGCAGAACCAGGGGAAGATCCAATATACAAAGGTCACTTAGGTTTGTGGCGAGCCCGCGAATCTGCATTTGAGACAGTCAGAATTGCGTCCAACTCACAAAACGTCTTCGACATTAAGTGGCATTCTTCATTGCCCATCTTTGCCACGGCCAGCCCGGAAGACCCCCACAGCGCACGGATCAAGGGCATTGGTATTACCACGAAGTCCATTGTGAGGGTGTTTAGCCTCAACTGTGACCTCCAAAAGCGTGTACCTAGCATAATGGAATTCTCTTGCCCGGCTTTGGATGTCAATGAGGTCAGTTTCTGTCCATTGGATTCTAACGGCACCTATATCACTGCTAGCTGCACGGATGGCAAGACCTATGTTTGGGACAATCGGAAGGGTGACAGGATTCTTCACCAACTTCAACATAATGCCCCTCTCAACCCAATTGATCACCAGCGAAGCCGGGAGACAGCAGACGTGGGGGTGAGGGTAGCTCTCTGGGGTTCATCTATGGACCAGTTCTACACCGGTGCGTCCGATGGTGTCCTCAAACGATGGGATATTCGCCGGTCACCTGAAGATGTCCTTGTTGAGGATGTCGCATCTTTCGATGAAGAGATCATGTGCGCTGCATTCACCGAAGATCAATCTCATCTCCTTGTGGGAGGTTCTGGAGGAGGGGTACACGTACTGTCATCAGGACCTTGTTCGGACCCGAATATGACAACTTTCGACTTCGAACACGCCCCAGAGCCTGAAAAGCCCAGGGATAGTGGTGTGCTTGCGGGAAACCAGCTTATCTTATCCGGCCAGGTCGTTAGGCATGAGACATTTGGTATGGGCCAAGGGCCCTCTTACACGGGGCCCTTTGCCTCGTGGGCTCGGAATATCGCACCAGAGGTTTCTTCTGAACGAATTGGGCAACTCCCTTTGCTCGAAAAATTTCAAATCCAACAGTTGGATGGACCGCCGCCAGAGGATCGTCATGGACTCGACCTGAATCAGCGACGGGAGGTTGAAAGACAGATACAACTTGCGGAAATACGAAATCGAGGATTCCATAAGAGAAAACGCCAGGAGCATGATGATCCTTCTACGTATATCTCAAATCGCCCCGTATTCCTGTCTTCTCTCGGCTCTTCCCGCCCTGGGAAGAAGAGAAAGAAAAAGTTGAGAAAATCGAAGTGAAGAAGGAAGAAAATCGAGACAGGCGAGATGATCTCGGTGAGAATGAAGGGAAGGCCAAGAAAAAATCTCGCACCAAAAAGAAGGCTCGCAGGGTCCCGATAATCAGCAACACTGAGGATGTTGACCTCACCCTCCTAGACTCAGATCCGGAGATAGAGACGTCCAACCGGCATCGGTTTGACCTTGAAGAACTACTTGAAGTCCTCGAAGAAGATAACTGGTTCCCAGCCAGTGGAGAAGTCGATCCCAATATCCAAAAGGAGATCGTTTAATATGATATCCTGATACTGTTAATGTATTTTGCATAGCATTGAAGCGTGGGAGTTTTGATTTGGTGTTTTAGATATCAAGGTTACTATGTTACAGTGAAAGAGCTACGATGCCTGTGGTAGGTCAAGAGAATCTGACATATTGAAATCTTGAATGTGGTAGCCTGTAGATAAATATATACAGGAATATGCCTATATATGTAGATATATATATATAGGCATATATAATATCTATGCAGTAGATATGGTGACATCAAGGTCATTGAGGCGCAGTCTATATGCCTAAGGCCATCATTTCCCGCTTATTCCTGTTATTTATCCCATGGAAAGAACTCTCTCTTTCTTTTACTCTCTGTTCTTTGTTACTATTTTTACCCTTACTCTCTCTCTCCCTCTTTGAACTTGATCTGATTTTAGCTATAACCAACGCCATTATCGTAGCTCAAGTTAACCTAATCCATTCAAAGGAATCATACCTGTCACATCATGTCGTTCGCCCCGCCTTCCGGGCCTCCCCCACCCTCGGTCCCCGATGGATGGAAAGCGCAATATGATGATCGATACCACGCTTGGTACGTACATGCATTTACTCATCTTACAACCTAATGTACTGACAATTAGCCAGGTTCTATGTGGACCTTGCCACGGGCAAATCGCAATGGGATCGCCCCGAAGGCCCCCCACCGCGCGATGACGGCAACTTTCCAACCAATTCCCTCCCTCCATCATACGGCAATGCCGGACCTGGCGATCCAGCAGTAATGGCCAATGTGGGAGACCAGAAGCAACACATGGGATCAAACAACCCCTATAACCCTTCAACACATACTGGCGCAGGCAACGCTAGTCCTCACATGATTGACGAGGATGCACGACTTGCTGCCAAGCTGCAAGCCGAAGAAGACGCCCGGGCCCACGCACGAGGAACTGGAGCCGGAATAGGAGATCGCGGTGCCTCAACCGATTATTACAATGATGCCTCGCGGCCCCAGTCCACCGGCCCAGGCGGGTATGCGGCAGGCCCAGCATCGCATAGCCCGATGCCTGAGCAGGAACAGAAGCGTAGCAAGGGTGGATTTTTGAGCAAGCTGTTGGGCAAGAGCTCGAGCTCAAGCAGCAGGCCGCCTCGACCGCAGCAACAGTATGCCTCGTATGCTCAGCAAGGCCCTCCGCCCGGTGCATACTACGGCGGTGGCTATCCTCCGCAGCATGGCCCTCAGCCTGGGTATGGACATCCCGGACCGGGATATGGAGGTGGATATGGGGGATACCCGCAGCAGGGTGGGTATTACCAGCAGCAACCGGCTCGCAGGCAAGGTGGGGGAGGTATGGGAACCGCCGGTGCTGCTGCTCTAGGTGTTGGCGGTGGTTTGCTTGGTGGTATGCTAATTGCCGATGCTATGGATGATGATCATGATGATTACGGCGGTGGGGATGATTATGGTGATGATGGTGGTGATTGATGACTTTTGAGGTGACTCCTAGGTTTGGTTGCGTTTCAGTTTCTTTGCTATATTTTTTTTTTCTTCTGCTTTAGTTTGTTACTGGGATGGACTTCGGGATAAAGGACCTCCCTCTCTGTACAGCTCGAGGGACTTCTAGGCGCTTTGACATCCGGAGCATATGGGAGTATTGCTTTTGTTTCGCCCAGACAGCTCTAGTCATTTATCAGAATTTGGCTCCAAACTTTATGAGCCATGAGCAGCTCCTGTTAACTTGTATCATACAACCAGTCACGAGACAATGACAAGATACCGTGTCAAGAGCAGTCAATATAATAAAGTAATGGTCTTTTATCCGCGTCTCCGGGCAGGACCACTGGTATCTCTACCAGTTGAACCAGCCAGAGTCGCATCGTTGGCCGTGGGATTAGGGGCACTGGTGCCCGCCATCCAACTGGCCAGATCAAATCCACCACCAGTCATGGCATTGGTGGTGGCACCGGTGATAGGCGACGAACGGGAATGTTGCTCAAATTCGGCGCGCATCTCAGGATCCACTAGACAACAGAGTTAGGCACCAAACACTGAATCAGGACCAAAAAAGGCTGAGGCAATAGACATACTATTATCCATGAGCTTGGGCATGACAAACATGAGACCCAGCGCGACAACCGCAAGCAAGACCATTGGGTTCTTGACAAGACTCAAGGGAGAGACTACGATGCAAAGGTTAGCGCGACTATATAAATCTACTGCAGCTCGTATCTGTGGGGGGGGAACAGAGAAGGGGCAAGCTCACATTGAGCACGCTGCTCATAGAAGACCTTCCGTCCAAGAACTTTAGCCTCGACGACCACATCAGCCTGCTTCTTTCCAGTAATATCCACAATATGTTTCTCCGCGCCACGATTATTCCATGGGTTTCCGCGGAAAGTCTCCCAGATACCGAGAATGGATCCATCAGCCGCAACATCGACACGGTAGGGGGCGAAGACGTAGTCGCCAGCGGAGCGGATATCGAGCAAGTATGACTCTGGCTGAGCATCCGGACCGGAAGATGGGATATCATGGAATACGAATGTCGCCGAGCGGGTCAGCGATGCGGAGAGGATGTGATCTTTCCCACCCAAGGGGAGAGTGGTGAGAGTGGCATGGCTCGTTGCGGGGAGGACATGCGGATTTGGGAGGGCATTTGAGGCGGGGATGGTGATAGTCAAAGAGCTGGCGGAAACAAGACTGCTGGCTCCCAGCAGGAGAAGAGAGGAAAGCGAGAAACGCATGACGATGTGTTGCGGTGGAAGAACTCCGGAAGGGCCATGGACCGGCCAGCAAGCAGCATTCACATCACGTGATAACTGTCATCTCCAACTCTTGGACGACAAGCATCTCGAAGCACCGAAGTCACCGTCTTGTTTTGCCAAACCTAGAGCATCATGCCTGTCTACCTTATTTCCAGGTAATTGATGGCCTCCAACAGTCCGGCTGTCTCCGACAAGAGATGTATCTTCTAATGCCATATAAATAGGATCGCTGATCCCCTCTTCGCCCTGACCATGGGCGTCTCTGCTGCCCTCACTCGCATCCGCCGTGACCAGCGCGAACAACACCCCGAACACGCATCAGAAATCACATACGGAAGCATCGTACAAACGAGCGGACGTCGGTTACAACGGTGGTGGAATGGAGACTTCCAGGACCTTTGACCGGGAATTGCAATGCATCATCGGTTTGGAGTTTTGGACTTGGGCGATTCTCTCGCAAAGACGATTCATATCATTGGATCTTATATTCGATTTGTACATATATCCACCTACACGAACTAGTCGTCCAATTGCATGGTCATGCTATTTATTATATACACACTTGCAAGGTTAGGGGTTGCGGTTTCTGTATAGCTTCAATGAAGTATGTCGTTCGTAATGAAAGCACAGAGTCCAAATCAGAACCGCTCGTAAGGAGCTCAAGTTGTCCAACAAGAATAATATATTGTGTTCTACAATCTACACAATCTACACAAAATAATGGTGTTTTTGAATTAGAAATAATTTTCATTCACTAGGATTTTTTTCCTAGAAAAAGAGATAACCTTGTATCTATGCAATCATGCGCAAAAAGAAACCTTGATACCCCATAAGTTCGTAAAACAAGACGTGAAAGTAAACGAGTGCCAAATGGCAAAGAAAGAATCAATTAGAGCGAAACGCTTAGTCGAGCTCCTCGGGCTTCTCCTCAACCTCGTCAGCGGAGCGAGCACCACCCTCGGGGGCACCGGCGCCAGGGGGAGCCTGGCCACCGTAAGCAGCAGAGATGATGGGGTTGGCAACAGCCTCAAGCTCCTTCTGCTGAGACTCGTACTCGTCCTTCTCAGCGGTCTGGTTGCTGTCGAGCCAGCCGATAACCTCGGTGATCTTGTCCTCAACCTTCTTCTTGTCATCCTCGGAGATCTGGAGCTTGCCCTCGGACAGAGTGTTCTTGAGGGAGTAGGCGTAAGACTCGAGGCCGTTCTTGGCCTGGATACGAGCAGACTCAAGCTCATCCTCCTCCTTGTACTTCTCAGCCTCGGAAAGCATGCGCTCGATTTCCTCCTTGGAAAGACGTCCCTTGTCGTTGGTGATGGTGATCTTGTTGGACTTTCCGGTACCCTTCTCGAGAGCGGAGACGTTCATGATACCGTTGGCATCAACGTCGAAGGTGACCTCAACTTGGGGAACACCGCGGGGGGCGGGGGGAATGCCAGTGAGCTCGAACTTTCCGAGAAGGTTGTTGTCCTTGGTGCGAGCACGCTCACCCTCGAAGACCTGGATCAGGACACCGGGCTGGTTGTCAGAGTAGGTGGAGAAGGTCTCGGACTTCTTGGTGGGGATAGTGGTGTTGCGCTTAATCAAAGGAGTCATGACACCACCAGCGGTCTCAATACCGAGGGAAAGAGGAGCGACGTCGAGAAGCAGGATCTCGTTGGTGGACTTGGAAGACTGGTCACCAGACAGAATGGCGGCCTGGACGGCGGCACCGTAGGCAACGGCCTCATCGGGGTTGATGGACTTGTTGGCGTCCTTGTTGAAGAAGTCGGAGACGAGCTTCTGGATCTTAGGAATACGGGTAGAACCACCGACGAGGACAATCTCGTGAACAGAGGACTTGTCGATCTTGGCGTCACGGAGGACACGCTCGACAGGCTCCATAGTGCCGCGGAAGAGGTCCTGGCAGAGCTCCTCGAAACGGGCACGGGTGATGGAAGTGTAGAAGTCAACACCCTCGAAGAGAGAGTCGATCTCGATGGAGGTCTGGGCAGCGGAAGAGAGGGTGCGCTTGGCACGCTCGCAAGCGGTGCGGAGACGACGGAGAGCGCGGGCGTTGGTGGTCAGGTCCTTCTTGTGCTTGCGCTTGAACTCGTTGACGAAGTGGTTGACAAGACGGTTGTCGAAGTCCTCACCACCCAAGTGGGTGTCACCAGCAGTGGCCTTGACCTCGAAGATACCCTCTTCGATAGTCAGGAGGGAAACATCGAAAGTACCACCACCGAGATCGAAGATCAGAACGTTGCGCTCACCCTCGACCTTCTTATCAAGACCGTAGGCAATAGCAGCGGCAGTGGGCTCGTTGATGATACGGAGGACGTTGAGACCGGCGATGAGACCGGCATCCTTGGTAGCCTGACGCTGAGAGTCGTTGAAGTAGGCAGGGACAGTGATGACAGCGTTGTTGACGGTGCCACCGAGGTAAGCCTCGGCAGTCTCACGCATCTTGACGAGGATCATGGCGGAGATCTCCTCAGGAGTGAACTGCTTGGCCTCACCCTTGAACTCAACCTCGATGACGGGCTTGGTAGCCTTCTCGACGATCTTGAAAGGCCAGTGCTTCATATCGGCCTGGACCTCAGCGTCCTGAAAGCGGCGACCAATGAGACGCTTGGCATCGAAGACAGTGTTGTGGGGGTTCATAGCGACTTGGTTCTTGGCGGCATCACCGATGAGACGCTCGGTGTCGGTGAAACCGACGAACGAGGGGGTGGTGCGGTTACCCTGGTCGTTGGCGATGATTTCAATGCGGTCATCGCGGAAGACACCTACACAAGAGTAGGTGGTTCCCAGATCAATACCGACGGCGGGAGCCATGGTGAATGTGTGTTATCGTTAAAAAGAAAGGAAAAAAGGGAGTTATAAGAGATTCGTGTGTCAAGAGAGTAGTGTACAGAGAGTAATAGGGTATTTGGAAAGTGAATAAAGGAAGAGAAGAGGAAGAGGGCTGAGAAAAGCTCCTATATAGTGAGCGGTGTATTGCTCCAGAAGCTTCTAGAGGGAGCCTTCCACGGGGATCCATGAGATTCCATGAGCTTCGATGTCCTAGCAACGAACTCATTACGTCCTTCATTAAGACTCTAGTAAGTTCCAGATGAGCCCAATGGAGTCATCAGGTCTACATATTCCTTGATTGTTTCTAAGTTTCTTCTCAATATCAATTATTTGTCTTCTTTCCCTTCTGTTTGATGATGCAACAATTTCTTTGATGTTCTCAGCTTTTTTTTTTTTTGGCGGGGTATGATGTAATAGTGGGATGACTACATCCCCCCGTATTGTAATACAATACAAGATTACCCGTCGCAGACCCGGGTATCGATGTTTTGAAAAAAACACCTGGTGGTTATGTATGCGTCATGATGATTCATGATAAAACCACACGGTCATCCGTTCTGGATTATGTAATCTCATGTTCGTTAACTAACTAGATGATGGTCGTTGTTTGGATACTTTCAGTCTCTGTGGTCCCCTCAGATACTATTTTAGGTCTTCCATCTTCCCCCTAATTGATGTGATATTTAAAGTACAACAGATATTGCAGACGGTGCAATTTCATCGCCAAGAGTATGGTTTGTACCATCGCATACAAAATAGCTTGCAATCTACACCTGGCCAAATCGGAGTCAACCCGGAGAAGTTAGCATCTGCCCGAGATCTTACTCCTTTGAAGCCTTCGAACAATAGGATCTAACCTTTTGAGATGTAGTGTACATAACATGAGCCTTAAAACTCGGTTCAATGGGGCATTGCTGAGTTACTGGCAATTGCGAATATTTCTCCAATCGCACATAGAAAGAGAAACAGTTTCCGTAGTTATCACTTGAAAATCGATCTCATCTTAAGCTAACCTTGTCATTTTCATTCCTGTGGGGCCCTCTTTCCCACCATATTCGCTGTACCGAAGCCTATGGGCCCGATGACATTGAGGTCAAAATGGAGCAACAGAGTATAGACCCAGAAGGCTCAACTCTCCAACAATATAAAGGTGGCAGAGACTGCAGTGGATGATGAGAACATCTATTTCAAGGAAGAAGCAACTGCCATTGAACAAGAGACACAACAGCCCCGAAATTGCTGCATTACTTGATTGATGACCCCAACGCACCGACGATCATCTTCTGTTATGTGTTCCCTTGGTAAATTTTCCTATCCCTGGAGCCTCCCCCATCGCAGATGAGTAACTTATGCATAACCTCCATCTTATTTGGGAGAATTTCACATCACTCTGCCGGCCACTTCATGGCCAGAGTCTTCCCTGATTGGAAGATTGGGCTACCTGGTACTTGCTGATCTTTTGACCTGAACCAGCCCCATGGAGTCTCAAGAAGCGTGTATTGGCCACACTGACTGCAAATTCTGTGGCTATTTACAGCCCGGAAGATGGCTCTCATCGTTCTTGTAGAGCTTTTATACGGCACGCGAGTCAAATTCAGCGGTTGCGATCCTTTTCATGCTTTCAATAGTATGGATTGACTACTCCTTCGCTGCTCTTGCCTGATACATCGTTTTGCCTGATCCGGATTACAACATACATCTGGCTTTAGTTTGATGCAGACGACATCGTTCAAACCCTTCCTCTGCTGGGTGGCGCCTTAAGATCCAGTGGCCAACTCCACTGGCTCAGGCATTGGTGACAGGCTTTCTCAATCACTCGTCGAATTAGTCAAATGTGAGCTGGAATAGATGCTCCATTATGACGACCCCATACTGGACGCAGGTCATTTTGTTCTTGGATTTTGTGTCCAATCAATGGGTTTTACTTCCTACAGCGGAGTGGGGGAGCTCAAGTTTCTTCAAGCACAGCCTCATGTCAAACAGCCTTTTCCTAGGCAATAATGGTACAAATTACCCAGCTCTTGACGTGCTTAACCCGGAAAATTGTCTACATACAACCGTTGATAAGGAGCATGGGCCGATGTACATGATTGCAAAATGTCTGATGACTCTTTCTGACTACGCCAAATTTCCAGCGCCGGTCACTTGAATCTTGGCCTTTGGATACGCAGAGGCTTCAGGGAATATCCGAAGGATCTGGTCATCTTGTAAAGCAGAGATATCTACCGGGGCATTATTCATCACCAGTAGCATGACCGTTTCAAGACTTTCAGCGTTGTTCAGAGACAGTATATAGCGATTCCATGGTCATGGTATGCTACTCATGCTACTCTATTCTCGGTAAAACTTGTAATCTCGATTATATTTCTTGGACTCGTCTATCTATTCATTCAAACCTGGGCCTTATTTATGGAACCTGCGAGTGCTGCAGTCCTAGTCATTCCGCTTGCTTGGCCTTACGCCATCTCCAACTACTAGCAACTTTAGACTGCCTCTTTCAGAAACTAATGTATGGCTAGAATGGTCTACAGAGAAGTCGGCCCACCCACACCCCCCGTGGTCCTTCTTTCTATGGATTTATGGCGGGTGACACCTGGTATCGTGCGCCGTAGGTGCCCCAAGACCAAGAGATTGCTCAATACATGGAGTTTACCGTCGTAATCTTGAGCTCTAAAGGCGGTTCAATTACCTTTTGTCCACATTTGGTCCCGGATACAATCTCAACATGTTGCTTGTCCTTTTTTGGAGTACAGACAAAAGAAGTGCCCTAGTAGCTGCGATGTTGCCGATGGCCAGGGGCAATTACTACTTGCCCATATAAACGCATTACATCCGATTATCTTGACACAGAAGTGATTTCCAATAACATGCTTGCTTTGCGTGTTCAATTGATCTCCAGTCCCTTTTCAATTGGTACTTGTGCTTGATGCCTCAGGGCAAGATTTGTCACGGGGCTTGATCACCCACGACAGCCAATCAGACGACGCGGTCTCGTCCTTACAGGATGTTTTGGTTTGAGGGGACTTTACTTTGCAGACCGTCTTTTAAATTCCCCTTGTCCCCTTTCCACCAACCATCCTTCTTACAATTCTCCATCCACTCCGAATAAATCTCATTATGGCTGACCAGGCGACCATCTCCAACTCCAACGAAGAAGCCTTCGCCAAGGGCAAGGGCAAGGCTGACCCCACGCAAGATATGAGCATGGATGAGGAGAGCGACTCGGACAGCGAGAACGAGATTGTGAGTCTGCATTTCCACGCCAAAACATGTACTTCCTTTATGCTGACTTTCTTGCGTGTCACTAGGTTGACAATGGTGTGTACCCCACTATCCCCCTAGCAACCCATGTCTGAATGACCACATGCGCCATAACGATCATAAATTGCCTCCATACTGACCCTTTCTGTTACCAGACGAGGATGATGACACGCAAGACAACCTTAACGACCCCATTGACCAGAGCAACATCATCCAGGGTGGCCGACGCACACGCGGCAAGGTCATCGATTACTCCAAGATCTCCACCGATGAGATGGATGATGATGAGGATGATGATGAGGAATACGAGAGCCGCGAGGACAACCAAACCAACGATGATGATCAAATGCGCGACTAAGCTCGATGAATACAAAACTACCCGGTGGCATGGAATTGCTTTGAACGATAGGCGCCACGGATCGGTCCAATGTTTTTTTTTACGCGTGACCATAACATGTCACGCGACCCTGTGATGACAATGAATCAATGAATATCTCTTCGGATTTTCCAACCCTGTTGATATTTACTTTGTCCGGTGGTTATGACTTGACCGATTTCCAGCCTACTATGATGTAATAATGTAGACCAGTTGAATATCTCTAGGGCTGTAAATTGGAACAAGCAATGATGTGCCCACTGATTTCTATCATAATAGCCCCCTAATGACCCAATCGACAATAAAGTCCCTATGCGAACAATAACTGCTGTGTATCCCGCATGTCGATTTGAGTACTTTGGCTATCACCTATCACGTGCTGTTCGGCGAATGACAACGCTATGGCCACCTTGATGTTTTGATCTCCGCAAGCATCGAGGACTCAAGCAGTGATCGCCTTGGATTTTGACACTTGCAAAATGCTCGATTACCGCTGAATAACTTATCGATCTGCAATTCATGTCTCCCCTCTCCCTCCGGCACAGACTCTAGCCTTATTTCACGACCGTCATGGCTTCACGGTATAGTTCCACCGTTAAGATCTCGGTTTCTTATGGGGTGTCCTTCGGTTAGCTGATGCAACAGTTCAATAGATTTCCGCGTCAGCGTGATCCTCGTGCCTCCTCGTCTCTCTTCGATCAATACGGCGGTGACTCCCGCCAAGCCAGCAGATCTCCTGCCCAACAACCAGGTGGATACGGGTACGGAGGCTACCCCAGTTCAGCACCTAATGGTTACGCGGGTAGCGGTGCGGCCGGAGCTGGATACCAGAGTGCGTCGCCCGACAAAAAGTGCGTTGAGTGGTCCTTGATTGTTCTGGATTTGAGATCGCTTGTCGTTTCTCTGAGGATGTATAGCTGCTAACCAAGGTCGTCCTATAGGGGACACTACTCCGATGCAGTTCTCTCATCTCTTGAGTCCCAAAATGACGCTGAAGTTGAGGGTATCAGTGCCAAGGTCAAAATGTTGAAGGATGTAAGAAAACTCGCATCTAAACATCCGTACCCAATGAGAGCAGGTGGTCCTTTGAAATGACAATCCGCTGATAGGAAACCCATCTAGATCACAATTGCAATTGGCGATGAAATTCGAGACACCACACACCTGACTGATCTCAACGATTCATTCGATAATACCAGGGTCCGACTCCGCGGGAATATGAAACGCATGCTTCGCATGGCCGAGAGCACCGGCGTCGGCTGGCGAGTCTGGCTCGGCTTCTTTTTCGCTGTCTTCCTTCTGTTCTTCTATGTCTGGATATTCTGAACGTATACCCTTCTTGCTCTAGGGATGCACTCGCCCATGCAGTCGCGCTCTATACCATGTCGATCACGCCCGTCTCCCCCGCCCCTTTATCACGTTTAATCTTTTGTCTTCACGAAAAACCCAGCGACTTGTTCTTCTACCTGATCTCATAGGAACAGTCACCCACTTGACTTATCGGTATCTTCAGCATGAAAATCTTGGCTTTGGCGCTATGAGGTGTTCTGGGACTAAGGATTCTTTGAACTATGTATATGAGAATACATCCCTGTCACTGGCTCAGATGTCGGCCATTTACCGCCTGCTAGATAATCACGTTGGAGATCTGCCTGGTATTCATCCGCGGAGATGATTGAGGGAAAATTGTCCATAAATACCCGAGTATGGTTAGGTTATCTCTGGCTCTTATATTGGAAGACGATCCTAAGTGTACCTTACAAACAAACAATATACAGGGACTGTCCTAGCAGATGAAACCATCTTTGATTGAGATTTACTTCCCAGGAATTTGGATGTTTACTTCAAGATGCCTTCGAAGTTATGCTCATTGGATTTGCATAGGACATGTTATTTCATGAGGAGGAACCATAAGCTGCTGTTAAAACTTCGGCAAAAACTCCCAAGGTCTATCTAGTTCAGACTATCCCTGGGCCCACCAATGTGCCGCGGGAACCTTCTTGCAAACCCGCTTCGTCGACTCCCCTGACTGGTTATGGATGCGCGTAGGTCATCGTCACTGTAAAGCATGCTGCTAGAGTCCAACGCATCGCCACCACCGCTCCAGCGATTGAGGAAACGGCGCTGGGCTTCAGTCTCGGGCTCGCGGGGCAGAGTCGGAGGTGGAAGAAAGCCACCACGACTGTTTGGCGTGCTGGTGCGGAAGTTCTCGGCAAACCTGGTTTGAATGATACTGGGTTCGTTCTCTTCCTCGTCACTCAGCTCCTCTTCGCTATCTGTGTGCTGCCATTCCCCTTCTTGCTCCGAGCCTTGCTCTTCGGCATCAGGGATGTCATCATCGAGATCACGCATCATGCTCTCACTCCCACTCTCACCGTCGGCGGCAGGTATCCCCGCATCTAGATCAGGCTGATTGTCGAAATCGTCCTCGTCCTCGTCATCATCGTCATCATCATACAGACCTGAGCCCTCATAGTCATCATCGGGGAACCCTTCAGGGATGTCATCATCCAAATCGCGCTCCATGTATTCTCCTTCGTCGCCAATTTCATCTTCCTCGAGTCCTTCTTCTCCTTCCTCGATAAGACCAGAGGCCTCCTCCTCCGCATTGGGGATTTCATCATCCAAATCGCGTTCCATGCCTTCGTCCTCTTCTACTTCCTCTCTCTGCATGTCCATATCATCATCCATGATTCCTTCTCCCTCTGCCGCTTCCATCTCAGCAGCAGCAGCTTGTAGTGCCTCTTCGCGCTCCGCTTCCTCTTCTTTCATACCGAGCATTGTTTTCGCACATCCCGCCGGCCTGATCCATGAGTATCCAAATGACGCAATGTTCAATTTTCGAGCGCGTAGCGAACGTTCTTCTGCGGCTAATGTGGCAATTGCGTTGGCAGGAGAGCGAGATGGCATGAATGAGCGATGACTGCTGCCGTTGGCATTACGCCGAGCGAGGTGGTTTGCAGCTGCATTGTCACCTTGTTCATTGGAGGTGGAGCGATATGGTTGGGAAGATCCAAACCAAAGTTCGTGGGACTATCGAGGTGTCAGTTCCCTGTCTGAGAAGCTTGAATCAGCAGAGCTAGTACTTACGTCGCGGGGGGTAATGGATGAAAGGGTGAGCATCACTGCAATTGATTTATTTACGGATTCAGGAATGCTCCTGGTAACTGCTCCGAGATTTCTGGTTATGGAGTTTAGTGGGGATCTGCGGCAGCTTGAAGATACGCGTTTTGTAGCTGTGCTCGTAGCAGTTTTAGTGAAGTGGACACTGGTAGGACTTCACACGTGTTCAGTTGGATGATTGTTTTTTTTTTTTTTTTTTTTTTTTTTTTTTAAAAAAAAAAAAGATAGAAGCAATTCGAGATGTCAATACGCCGTCGCATATAATCAAGTGGAAAGCGAAGGCAGAAAAGGCCGGGAGCTTCATAACCAATCAATTGATGTCTGCGGGGAATGCTCTTGGGCCGTCAGGAATGCTTATCTAACCCTGTCACGTGCATGGAGTCCAGAGCTTCGCATCTATATGGAAAGTGGAGGTTCTATCATATCTCTCCTTCCTAATGTTCAACTATTCGAACCGCGAGATTAGTCTTTTCAAACAATGAAGTATAGTTTTAGTTTCAAGGCAAATACACATTGTCCCCCGCAGCAAAATTCAGTCAACGATACTGGTCTTTGATTAATCCAGGTCCTTGGCTATAGGCACTGCATATGTACTCCGTGCAATGCATGAATCAACTATGTACGGACAGATACCACATATAGACTTGGACCAGCCCACTCTTGGATAGTGGACCATGTGAGGGTCTCAGCCAAATAACTGAGAGCATAGGAATTTCAGACTTGGATACAAGCGAGATCATCTTCAGATTTTCGTGACTGGAGAAATTTCAAAGTTTTCTACAAGACCAAAGTAGACACCTACCACATAGCGGAGACATAGAATATTATCATCAATACGGAGTATAAGAATGCAGACTCTAGAATATTGAATATCTTCCCGGGCTCACCCGATGACCAGCGGTGTGTCTAATGTGTGTGGACGGAAAAAGCCGGGATGTAGCTATTTTCCCGAAAAGACGTGTCTTACTCTCATGACTATAATTGGAGAGAAGGTGAAGATGTGCTCCTTGGTAAAATATTCTACAAAGGGCTCTGGATTATGATGTACGTGAACTTCGAAATCCAATTCCTCCCTGTTTCACCCGACATACTGTAATGGGCTGACATATGGGGGAAAAACAACCTTGGAAGAGAGAGATCAGAGTTATGTATTCTTATTATCATCGATTACCTTATCTCTCTCTCTCGATCTTCATAGGTCTGAACGGATGACTTTCCTCCGGACTCTAGTGAACTCGGTATGGGGTAAAGCCATATTTTTAGAATGCAAAACATGGGGAAACGTGGAATTCCATGTCCATTCCAATTAGCGGAGCTGAGTTCCACGCAGTCGGTATAATGGATGCGAGTACGGAGTACAGGGGAAAGGTAATTAAAAATCCGCAGTTTGAACGTCAAAAAGTAGGGAGACATGGGCTCTGCAAACGGATCCCGAAATCGGGCTATGCTCATTGGCATCTAAGAAAAACTGATAGAGGGGAACCTCGGGAGAGGTTGGCCGTTGTCGGAATGGGTATGGAGTACTGTTACAGGTATTTATGCACCCATAGATATCTTGGGAATGGAATGTTCTAACCACTTGACTCTTTTTTTTTTTTTTTTTCTTTCTATACTTTTGATTTCATACAAGGTACTTTTGAAATGTTGGTACTTTTCACCTGCAGAGAGAGAGAGAGAGAGAGGTAAGCAGACTAAATGCGAGAACCAAAGGCATATCCATGGATATTTACCCCACAAGGTGCAATTGGTAAGCTGTGAGGATTGCTGTGATTTTGTACGGAGTATAGTGTATATTGCACTGAAGTACGGAGTACAACATACAACATAGGTATACAACATATGATATATTGGAATGAGCTCTGATCTTTTTATGGGGCTTATGGGCCTATGGAGCCGCCCCACTGTTGTATGTACCTTGTTTTGAGCTTTTGGTCGAGAAGGAAAAAAAAAGGGAATCTCAGGGGGAAAGGGAAGTTGAAGACCAAAGACTGAAGATAGGATCTAGGATATAATTGAAGATCGAGATACCATGAGAGAGCATCGCTAACGGATATACTATGGAGTAGTAATCAGTTAAATTGACGTAGTAAAGAGCTAACCCTGGATTGTAAATCCTCCACTCTGATTGGTCGAGAGAGGCTTATCTTGGGATGATTTGCACTCCGTAATCATAATGATTATCATTACTTTCTGGCTGTTTGCGTCCAACCATTGTTATGAATGTTGTATAGTGTACACCTGTATACCATCTATATACAGCATCAAAAGAGCATCTATAGCATATATGGAGCATGTAGCAGCATACATAGTAAGTGGCACGTGTAATAGCCTATAGCGTTCTCTCATCTTTCTTTCAACCTCCCCTTACCGTTCCTCTTGGCTGCTTTCTAGCAATTTGCCACGGTAAACTCCCCACCATTGTAATTTTTCCCTTTGGGGTACATCGGGGCTTGCAATCCCCGGACCTGCTGTCCCGCCGTAATCGCCCTCTTTTTTTTTCCTCCCCCCTTCTCCCCCTCCTTTTATTCCCTCCTTCTCTTACCTTTCCCCCTCGATCTTCAATCTCTTTTTTCATTCATAGAAGCTGGGTGATCATTGACCCCTTTGTTCCCTCACCTGCGCTACCTCCTGTGACGACATCGCCTGTCAATCCCCCAAATCGGTGGGGACTTCCTAGGAAACAATCCCCTTCAGTTACCATTCCATTCTCTGTCGGCCCCCGGCGGAAGAATGGGTCTTAACTTGGAGGAGCTCTATGGCAAAGATATAAGTGAAGAACAGGCTCCTCAGGAGTATTCTCAGTACCAATCCCAAAAGGGTTATGGCTGGGCCAATGCTCTGCCAGAGCGGCAAGGTCTGTACGACCCTGAATATGAGAAGGATGCCTGTGGAGTTGGCTTTGCAGCGTGAGTGAGACCCAATTGAAGCCCAGGAGGACCCAATTTCTGACAGAATCAGTCACATCAAGGGCAAGCCAAGCCACAAGATTGTTAGCGATGGTGAGTGCCAATCTTCTAGTTTTTTTTTTGAATTCAAATGACCAGAACAAATGAAGCTGATGACAATTGAACAGCCCGCAATCTGTTATGCAACATGACCCATCGAGGAGCCGTTGGCTCTGATGCACGGGACGGTGACGGTGCTGGTGTGATGACCAGTATCCCACACAAGTTCTTCATTAAGAACTTTGCCCGTGAGGTGGG